AAAAAAAGGGGTTGTACGAGATGACCGTCTAAGTGGTTCTCATTAGAGCGTACCATTCTTCTTGTCCTGTGAATAGTGTGGTAATAGAAAGACCGGCACAACACGTCCACTTTGAGTGATTGCGTAGGCTAAACCGGTTTTGGAGCCCTCAATATGCCCTGCCTAGACCGTTTCTCGAACTGAAAACGGCCCGAAAATGTAAGAGGACGCAGATTTATTCTAGCGGGAGATTCAGAGACCGTTTTTTATTGTGAACTGTGCCTTCGAGTCAATGTAACGAATTGTCAAAACTATATAAAAAAACGTTATTTCATAAAAAGGAACTATTTCAGGAAAAAAATAGAATTTTGGAGTATGAAAAGGGGAAGTACTGTGACAGTTTGGTTTTTCTCTATTCAGATGAATCACTCAGTTGTCAATAATCCTCAATATTTCTGAGGGATGATCTCTGGAATAAAAATTTTTCACTCGATACTATTGATGATGTGCCGTCGCATGTTCCCTTGTTCTCATGAGATGTCCCCTTTCAATCAAGAACGATGTATTTTTTTCAAGTGCCATGATTCCACTTGCAACCCCCACGGTCACATCTATTTCCTTTTCCCTTGGGATTCTTCATGGTCGCTACGATCAGCTTTGAAACCAGTGTCGATTCCTCATGGTCGCTACGGTCAGCTTTGAAACCAGTGTCCTTTGAGAGTAAAAAAACAAAGCTCTTCAAGAAAAAAGAAGAAAAAAGCGAAGGAAATAATTTTCCACGACGAATCGTCGATTTTTGGAAACACCGCAAAGTGATCGAACGCGTAAAAGCTGGTGGGTGCTACGGTGATACACGAAAATCGTCCGTTTTCCACGTAGTCTCATTGAAATTGTGCATTCTAATTGTTCCACGTAGGCTTTCCTCTAAATAACCGGTGGGAATTTGAACGGCTCTTGAATGCCATGAATTTCTTCCTCCTTTTCAAATTTTACTTCAAGATACTAAGCGGGTTTTCTTCGTTTTCTCGTATCGCAAAGTACAAAAGTCGTCCTATCATTCCATACGGAACGCAGTTGCACGTATTTTTCGTACACAACTACTTTGAAAATACTCTGCAATAGATTAAAAACGTACCTTTCACGTCAGACCTAATGGGTCTTCTGCGGTATGGACTCATTCTGGGCGGTCTTGCACTTCTAGCTCATTTTATTGCCGATCGACTTCATTCGAAACTTCCTCTACATTTCGATGGACATGTGTCGAAAGGATACGAGAGTGTTCAGAAGGCATTCGAGTAGGTTCTGAAAGTACAACTTCAATAAGTAAAGCTCTGTCGAGTAAAATACTTTCAGGCAGAATTTCATCGATGGTTGGGAGTCCGAAGGAGCATCATTTGCAGTGTATGTGAAAGGTCAGAAAGTAGTGGACCTGTGGGGTGGATATGCCGACAAGCAAGCGGCTCGTCTATGGAAGGAGGTACGATAATCACTAAAATGGATAGTTGACCCGAATGAAAACCTGATTTTCAGGATACCATCTCGGTGGCGTTTTCTACGACAAAAGCCGTTGCAGCTGTTTGTATAGCGATGCTTGCTGACCGAGGACGTCTCAAGTACGACGATCTCGTCTCGAAACACTGGCCTGGATTTGCCAAGAACGGCAAAGAGAACATCACTATTGAATGGGTTATGTCACATATGGTAAGTTCTGGCTCTTTATATGGAAATTTTTCATGTCTAAAGCTCCATTCATAGTTTGCGA